TGCTTGTACGAATTTGACTTTCTGCTTGTACGAATTTGACTGTCTGTTTGTACGAACTTGGTTTACAAAACCTGTAAGAGTTTTATTACAATTATAATTACCTATCAAGTATTATATATAATATCTGTTTATAAATTTTCTATTTAAATTCTTTAATTTTACTTTGTATTTGCTATTATAAATATTAATTTTTAAGTTTAACCTTTCTAGATACCATTTTTAATTCTAAAAATATTTTATAAATACCAGAATATCTACTCTGTTAATTTCTTAAGGATAATATATATTAATCTATAGATTAAACTATAATACCAATACTTATCTAACTTTTATAGAGTTATATAAACCCTAATACTTACTTCATAGTATATCTTTAGTACTTTAGTAATCTGCTATAGATGTCTAAAAGAATTGTGACCTGTTTTTGATATATATATATATATATATTGGTATACATCTTTTTTTTAAGTTTGAATTCGGGTAGCTGGTTGATATATATGCTTGTCTTAATATATTAGTTTTTGTTTAGTTCAACTTACATTAGAGTACGACCTACAACATTATTTAATACTTTCTGCTCTATTACAATCTCACATATTATAATACCCGCTACATATATTATGACTTAAGTCAATACTACAAAAGTTACAACGCCGTTACCTCCAAATGTCTGCACCTCTACCTGGTGATATCGCCACTGGCGGTAAATAGCAGTATTCATTATTTTATATAAAAATTTGCAATAAATTTTACTATTATGTATTAATTTATATGTCTATATACAGATTTAAAAAATCTATTATATATTAATTTATATAAAATTTCAAGTCTTGAATACTAAAGTTAAAAAAAATCAGTTCAAAATATTCCAATAATTTAGAATATATTTAGATTTATAGTACTTTAAAATATGAAGTTTCTCTGTATAAAAATTATTTATTGTCGCAGATCATGAAATCGGATTAAGATAAAATTTGGTACTTCTATTTAACTTCACTTATACTTGTTACTATAAAAAGTTGACCGATAATGCTAAAAACGCTAAAAAAAATACACCTCAAAGGTTGTAGTTTTCGGTAGCTTGTCTATTTTACACTATACAAATTTTATTTTAATCAGATTTCATTTAATCCGCTACATTTATGAATTAAAAATAATGTCTTCATACAACAACTAATGTATGTATACGAGTTTATAAATTTGACTTGTATGGAGATGACCTTTGTTCGTGGAGGTTTTATTCAGGGTCTTGTTGAATCTCCCAAAACCGATCGCCTGTTAAATCTGATAAAAGATTAATCGCTATATAGATCTAATAGCTTATATTTACAAATCTGATTACCTCTCAATATTGATATGAACCTGTCCACCGCGCATATTGATTTTTGGAGGTTCAACAATATATTTTTATTAAATGTATTAACCCTTTTATTGCCGTCATCACATTGCCATTTGAATGACCGAAAATTCAGAATCATAACGTGACGCATTGAAAAGTTTTTTGCGCCAAATTTAGTTAAAGCGCATCATAGTATATTTTTCCTGAACTTAGTTTAATTACTTCGTTGATATTATAATCAAGAACTGCTTGTTTCTTTGTCAACGAAATCATGAACAGGGCCTAAATCAGTATTGCCAAATTGATAAAAGACATAACGTTAATAGTAGTTTAACTTAATCATGATGTATATTGCATTCAAAAATACAGAAACATGACATATGTTTGACTTCTTATTTATAAGAAACTATATTATACGCTTGAGTTTAAAAACATCTAGTTCCCAAAGAATAGATATACATTGTCAAGAAGTAATCTACTCAGCCTACCACTAAAAAAAAACTTTATAAAAAAAACAGAAATAAAAAATAAAATATAAAAAAAAAAATAATAATAGCTATATGAAAGGTGTTCAAGCAATTTAACAACCGTTAGTTGATTTGAAAATCTATATAATGCATCAAAATCACCTAATTACTTGGAATAATTTTTAGCCCATTCTTCAAGCACTGGGCATGAAGTGAATGGTGCTTCAACCTTTTTAAGCTTAGGAAAATTAGCAGAAAACAACGGATTACACATTTCTTTTTGAATATATGTACAATAACGGAAAGACAAATGCCTTAAATTTTCGCATTTTGTTAAGCTAGTTAATGGCCCACATCCATAAAAATCTACGTGATACAAAATGAGCGTTTGTATAGATAACGCTTGCTCTCGTGAAAATGAAATAAGTTTTTGGATACCAGAATTACAATTAAAGATTTCTAACTCTTTTAAATGCGTTTGTGACCTAATAAATTCAGTTGCGTCGTCAATTTGACTTTCATCAAAGTTGCCAAGACTGATGATTAATTTTTCCTATATTAAAAGGAAAATTATATTTTAATTAGTTCATGTAAAAGAAATATTAACATACAATCAAAATAAACATGAATACAAATTTCTAGAGCCATACCAAATTTGAGCAGATCCCAGCGAGTTCAACAAAGTAACCTTTGTAAGGCCTTGTTTGGAACCAACGTAATTCATTTGTAAATCTTAAAAGATCACTGACTTCCGGTTGCAACAAAATTTTCAGAATATTGTTTTTTATGTCACCTTTGGAAACTTCATCAAGATTGGATGAATGAAGCTTAAAATTAATATGAAATCTCCTAACATTGGTAATTTTCCGAGCTAGCATTTTCAAAAGTACTGTAAGTGTTAATTCAATATCACTAGTCAAGGTTGAGGGTGGGGTTGAGGGTGAAGTTGAGGGTGAGGTTGAGTCGCTAGAAGGTTGGGCATTTGTCGCCTTTGTTGCATTTGTCGCATTTGTCGAATCTGCAGTATCAGTTGAATCTGGAGATGCGGGTGAATACAGCTCGTAAAGAGATTCCCAGATAAAGTTTAAATTTAAATGCCGAATAAAAGAGGGATAATCAAACTTTTTATTTTCAATAAGGGGTATTTTATTTCTAATTGAATCAACTTGTTGTAATTGATCATTATCAAGAAATGACAACAATGTTTTTATAACGTTATCACTTTTTTCTCCGTAAAAGGGATCTTGCCACAGTATAGGAATCGCATTATTACACCACTGTCGGTTGACCAAAGCACAATTAAATAAAGTACCGTAATCACGTTCCTCTTTAGCGTCAACAAATTTAAATATAGCTTGCAAAATTTCGTTGGGGATGTTAGTAGCCATTTTAATAAGATCACCGGAGAAAGAGATGGAACACAGAACTTAATAATTTGATCCGTTTTTATTGTATCGGGCGGTCTGTTGTGATACATGTGATACATGATAGTTTGTGTCTCACCCCAAAATGTACACGTTTACCCATGTAATTATTATATACTCCGGTATTGCAGGGGATAAAGTTCGTTCCACAATAAATATCTTATTGTATTCTAATTTAATCTTATTTGTGTTACATTTGTACTGCGCACAATCAAGTTCGTTTTCATTTTTGTGTTCCTTGATTATACGTAGTAAAACAAACTGATAACTTCGATGTGAGGTTCGAAACTCTTAAATCGAAAAAATGTTGATTTTAAATTATTTCTTTATTGATAAAGTCGCTTCTAAGATAAGTAGGTGGCACGACCGGATCTGACAGAATGTCGAACGTTAATATAAAAGATGCGTTTTTAAGTTCTAAAAAATATAAAATCTTCGTATAATAGCGCTTTTACAATAGACA